ATTTTTGGAGCTCCAGTCATCGGGCAGATGGGTTCTGAAAACAGGAATGTCCTCCCCACTCCAGCTGAGCAGCCCTGCTGCTTATTCTTCCTCCATCACCATGCCTGTTTCACCTCATCATCAGCCCGGAGCTGGTTCCTTGAGGGTCAGAACCTGCCATTCAAACGAATACTCTGAAGACTTAATTTTTTTCACTGTCTCTAAAGATAGTTCCCATATCTGTTTATGTCTCTTTCTGTCAAGAGCTCATGTTGAAAACATTACTTTCTCCTCAAGTTTGTATCATCGCTAGAATGAAAATAAAAGTATAAGCCTCAATCCTGAATAATTATGTTGGGTTAAAGTGTCATACAATATAAATATGCCCCCAGAAAAATTAAGATCTTAGATATCACACAAGTACAAGTGGATTTCTTTAAAACATGTGAAGTATGCTCACAAACTAAATTAAAACTGGCCTTCCAAAATGCCAGACGCATATATACAATAACTATACTGTCAAATGATTACCTTTGTAACCAGTTCCTCCACTGTCCCATATAAACAACCCTGTCCAGTTGTTTCTTTCTACATTCAAAATAGAAAGAGCAACAAGAAAACATTGTCATCTGGATGATAGAATGCCAAAGCCTAATTTTTTAACTTCTCTCCATAATCTACTCTTCCAGATTTATCTGCCATTTTTCTCATACTTAATATTGACTTAATTCGATAAAAATATAAATGTTTTAATGTTTACCAGACAAAATACTATATTTTTATTTTTGCTATGATCTATAATAAATATTATTACCTATGACTCTCAAATCCAGTTAGTTTTATAACATGTTAGATAACTTAACATTTCTCCTGTTGTTCAATAATAATTATAAGAAATTATTAAATTTAAATGGACCACAGAGCTGTCTGCATTTGAAATTAAACTCATAAAATGCAACATACTTATTCAAAAGGACTATTTTATATACCTATAGCTTCATTATTTTTATATATTATTTCATCATTGAATCCTAATTAGGTTACTTGCAGTTCTACTTCCATAGGTGAATTTTATGACAATATTAAGAAGAAAACAAAGCCAAAAAATTCTCTTTAACTATAATAAGCAGTGTGAAATGCAGTCTCATTAGGGAGGATTGAACATCGTGATATCTTTATGTTTCTTTTTTATGAAGTTGAGATCTATAAATTATTTTTGACAAAAGAATTACCCACTTCTTTAGTCTTTGTTGGAACACAGAATTAAACAGAGGACCCTTGAGAAGACTGAATTTCTCTTCTTTAATTTGGGAGAAAAAGACATTCATTTTTTAAAATTGAGTCTATGCACAATGCTCAATTATAAAACACTTGCCTATATCTGCGAGGCCTTAGGAGTGATCTTCATCACTAACAATAAATATTAATAATTACTTTAGAAGGTTTTGTATTAACACATTCATTTTACATCATATAAAAATACCTAGATTGACCATATAAACAAGTTGAGAAACAAAAATCACATGATCATCTCACTAGACACTGAAAAAGCCTTCAACAAAATCTAACACTTCTTCATAATAAAGGTCTTGGAGAGATTAGGAATAATAGGAAGAGACCTAAACACAATAAAAGCAATATACAGCAAACCAAAGTCAACATCAAAATCAATGGAGAGAAATTCAATGTGATTCCTCTAAAATCAGGAACAAGAAAAGGCTGTCCTCTCTCTCCATACCTCTTCAATATTGTATTTGAAGTTCTAGCTAGAGCAATAAGAAAACAAAAGGAGATCAAGGGGATACAAATTGGAAAAGAAGAAGAAACACTTTCACTATTTGAAGATGATATGATAAGTGACCCAAAAAACAATACCAGGGAATTTCTACAGCTGAAAAACACCTTCAGCAAAGTGGCAGGATACAAGATCAACTCAAAAAATCAGTAGTCCTACTATATACAGACAATAAAGGGGCTGAGAAAGAAATCAGTCAAACATTACCCTTTACAATTTACAACAACATAAAATACTTTGGGGTAATGCCAACCAAAAAAGTGAAAAACTTGTATAGTAAGAACTTTGAGTTTTTAAAGAAAGAAATTAAAGAAGATACCAGAAAATGGAAAAATCTCCCATGCTCTTCGATAGGTAGAAATCCCTGATTTTAAGCTCTATTACAGAGCTATAGTCCTGAAAACATATTGGTATTGGCACAAAAATAGGTAGACTAATGGAATCTAATTGAACACCCCAATGTTAAACCACACATCTACAAACACCTGATCTTTGACAAAGAAGGTAAAACTATATAATGGAAAAAAGAAAGTATCTTCAACAATTGTTGCTGGCATTACTGGGTGACCCTCAGTGAAAGAGTGGATAGAGAAAATGTGGTACATTTACACAGTGGGAAAAAAAACCAATTGATTCTTGAAATACGCAGGCAAATGGATGGTAATAGAAAAACCATCCTGAGCCAGATAACCGAGTCACAAAAAGACAAAAAATGGTATGTACTCTCTCATATATGGGTTTTAGACATAGAGCTAATGAGTAACATCCTATTAATCCACATTGCCAGAAAAGCTAGGAAGCAAGGCGGACTGTAAGAGAGACAGACATAAGGTCAGCCAGAGAAGGAGAAAGGGACAGGATCTGCTGAGCAAATTTGGAGCATGAGGGTATCAGGGAGAGGGAGTTAGAATAAAGTTAAGGGGATAAGAGGAGGGAAGAGGAGGACAGGAGAGAGCAGGAAGATTGAGTCAGGGGAAGAATACAGGAGAGCAAGAAAAGAGATATCATAATAAAGTGAGCCATTATAGGTTTAAAGAGAAATCTGGCACTAAGGAAGCATCCAGAGATCTACAAAGTTGACCCAAACTAATAATCTAAGCAATAGTCAAGAGGCTACCTTAAATGCCCTTCTATGATAATGAGATTGATGACTACCTTATATGCCAACCTAGAGCCTTCTTCCAGTAGCTGATGGAAGCAGAAGCAGACGCCCACAGCTAAACACTGAGCTAACCTCTGGAATCCAGTTGTAGAGAGTGAGGTGTGATTACCAAAGGGGACAAGACTAGGCTGGAGATACCCACAGGAACAGCTGACCTGAACAAGGGGTTGCTGATGGACCCCAGACTGATAGCTGGAAAACCAGGATAGGACTGTCCCAGACCCCCTGAATGAGGATAGGGAGTGGTTAGGGGGTAAGGCAGGAGGGGAGGGAGAACAAACTGGGATTGATATGTAAGGAATTGTGATTCTAATATTATTAAAAAATGGAAAAAATATTTAGGTTGGAGATACAAGGTTTTTCTTTTGATTTTTTAAATTTTAATTTCATATTCCAACTACAGTTCTCCCTTCCACATCTCTTTCTGCCCATCCTTGCTTCCTTCCATTCTCACTTGCTTCATCCCAGCCCACCCCTGGTCTACTCCTCCTCACAGATAAAGGCTCCTATGAGGAGTCAACATAATCTGGCACAATGGGTTGAGGCAGGGCCAGGCCCGTCTCCCATGCATTAAGGCTGATCATGACATCCCATCACAGGGACTTGGTTCCAACTAGCTACCTCATGTACCAGTTTTGTATTGTGGTCCTACTGCCAGGGGTCCCTGTGATAGTGCAAGCTTTACAACTGTCTCCCACATACACAGGGCCTAGTTTGGTTCCCTGGAGTCTTCCACAGGCTTAGGGAGAAACCCAATGCTAGGGTAACTCCCAAGTATCTGCAAGGAGGACCTTAAATAAGACTCCTAGAAATCATGAGATTTAAGAGGGCAATTACCCAATGACAGATATTAACAGGTATATTCATTCATATAATATGTATATTACATAATGAAAATATTATTCCAAAATTAATCATGATCAAAGCTTTAAGAATAAATATACCTTTTCAAGAAGTCAGATTTTCAATGTCAAAATAAGCTACTTCCCAAATAAAAAATTAAATATTGATGACAATTATTATTAGAAAACAAATGACCAAACGGGACAGAGATCCACTCTGAAACATAAAACAGTTGATTTCAGTTCACATTTTATTTTATTTGGAAATTTTATCAGGATGTTGTCCAATGTTTACTCAAGCTGACAGTCAAATTTACTTGATAATATTATAGAACTAGATTGAAGTCCACAATGCTTTGACTAAGTTAACATTACAAAAGACACACTAAAGTCTTCAGTTTTATACCTATTAAATAGAATCAAGCATGGGGAATTGTTACAAAACCACAGCAAAATCCACAAAGGCATATGAGTTTAATGACTTGCTTGCCTTACCCCTCTAACATTTTCTTTATTGGTTTCTACAGTAACAGTTAATCTTAATTGATCACTGGTCAGGAGCAACAAATACCAGGGCTGTTTTCACTATATCCTCAGAATAGATTCTACTATTACCAGATGGGAAGTGTCACAAAAGCAGTTTAATTGCTGTGTCCATGAAGGTTAACTAAGTGTTTAAATATCAGGGTGCAGATCTCTGCCATCCACAAGGAAATGGAGCTTGGAGTTTCCAACAATATAAGCAACTGAACCTGGCTGAGCCAGAATAAAAGGAATAAAGAATAGAAGTGTGTTACTTTCTGTGTTCTCATTTAAAAGCTCCTTCTGGTATTTGCCATCATAATGAGACACATGTGACTGTGCTCAAATACTGGCACCAATTATGAGATGATAGAAAAGGTATCATAAAACAGATGGTAGAAAAAGGACATCACTGCTTTTAAGAGAAAAAAAAACACCAGCTTTTCTCATATCTATATGTTAATTTAAATGGTCTGAGGAAAACCAAATAAAGAGATAAAACTGATAAAAGAGGAAAAGAAAAAAAATCATACCAGCTTCATGATGTTATAATCCAGAATAACCTTCTATAAAAACATAAAAACTTTAAGATTCCAGTTTAAGGATGCAATAAATATGTTAAAGTTTTATATGGAATTTTTTCTTGAAGTATTTACATTGAGCTTAAAGGCACATATCTTTGATAAGACATGCCACCTACCTTTACAAAGGTTAACATCCTCTCGGTACTCCAGACTTCTATTAAGTTCCAACTTGATTACAATCCCCACAACAATGGACTAGTCACGTAACTGATCTAGAAGAGAAACACACACAAAATGTGAATGTCCACTGTTGTTAAACACATATGTACTTGTAGATTCCATTTAATTAAAGCTTGTCAAGACAAGATGGGAAGTTCATAGGAATCCACCTGAAAATTTACTATCTCATTAACATCAGAATTTAGTTTTATTAACATCTTCTGAAGGTACAGTTGTCACAGCTTCTGACTGATTGCAACAAATACAAGTTAGGTAACAAGCATTGATTCACTGTTTCACGCTTCTCTTAAGTCACAGTTTCTCATACCTGGGTACCACACTGTTTTTAGTAATTGAGTGTCCTCACCTTTATAGTTTTAGTTTTGTTTGCTTGTGTTTATACTTTCTTTGCTTTTGATGATCATGAGAATTTTGAAAAGTAATGATCATGTGCATATAGTAGAGAATTTGGGTTTCACCTTAAATTTATCTTTTTTCACATTTCTCATGATTAGACTGAGCATATGGATTGAAGGAGCAAGGCCTAGAAGTTTAGACTCCTTATCCTTCGTTCACAACAAGGGAGCTTGTCAACTTAACATGTTGGTGATATTTATTGTTAATTGTGATTTATTATACAGTTCTTTGGAGCTGGAAAGATCATACAGCCCTTAACAGGCTATGCTCACAATGAAAGCAATACACATCTCTTTTCTGTGAAATTGCTTAGGTTCTCCCTTTGTATTATACACTGTTTTAAGTTGAAACTTGGGAGAGGTTACATTCTGTGTAATTGAGGGAAAAATACTGTGCTAAAAGTTTAAAAATTTTATGAGAAATTGTTCTCTGTTTGTGACCTCTCATACATTGTTTGACCATTCTTAAATTCATATGCTTATTCAGTGACTTATGTGCATTGGTGGGAACTCAGTTATCTATCTAGAATTCTGTGTTATAGTCTAATACTGCATTGGTTTGTTTGTAGCTCAAGTAATTTCATCTTTGGCCATTGAAAACTCCTTCGTTTACATATCAGTTTGTAATACCATACTTCCTTGTTCATTGAGCATTTATCTACTAGTATGATAAAATATCCCACATTAATCTCACAGTAATATTAATATTAAATCACAGTATTTTTGTCTCATCTGTAAACAGGGTCACTTCTCAAAGCATCCTTGGTTGCTTCAAATGAAGGATTTATTTTAAGGTTTCTTCAGCAATACATGCAATTTTAGAGTGAGGTTGGCATATAAGAAAGCTGCTTATTGTAATAGTGATTTATCATTGATAGGAATAGACCTTTATGATGATCTATAATTAAAGGAAGTGTGTCAAAAATCATCTTATCTGAAACACACGATGTGTATATTTTTACTTGTATGTCTAGAAAATTTGTGCAGCTGAGACCAAAGAAAGGAGTTTGGCATAGTGAGATTTTCCTAGATTATCTTGGAAAGTCCCAAATCACACATATACTTAAAAATGAGATGTAGATGGCTATCTGATATAAAGGAGAGGTCAGTGACTAATAACAAGAGAGAAATTAAGATGTTGACTTTCAACTCAAAACAACTCTGAGATACAATCTTATACTAGTCAGAATGGCTAAAATCAAAAACACCTATGACAGTCTATGCTGGAGAGGACATGGAGAAAGAGGAACACTCCCCCACTGCTGGTGGGAGTGCAAACTTGTACAACTACTTTGGAAATCAGTATGGCTGTTTCTCAGGAAAATGGGAATCAGTCTACCCCAAGATCCAGCAATTCTTCTCTTGGGTTTATACCCAAAGAATGCAATTCATACAACAAGAACATATGTTCCATATGTTTGTATTAGTCAGAACCTGAAAGCTACCTAGAAGCCCCTCAACAAAAAAATGGATACAGAAAATGTGGTTTATTTACAAAATGGAGTATTACTCAGCAGAAAACAAAAACAAAAAAACAATGAAATCTTAAAATTCACAGGCAAATGGATGGAACTGGAATGAAACATCCTGAGTGGGGTAACACATTGACAGAAAGATGTGCATGGTATGTACTTACTCATATATGTAAAGGACTACCAGCCTACAGTCCACGCCACCAGAGAAACTAGGAAACACAGGACATCCCAAGAGAAGAACACATGATCCACTGAAGTAGAGGGGGGGACAAGAACTCCTGAGCAAATAGGGAATACAGAGGTGGGGGAGAAGAGGGAGATGGGAAGGGAAGAGGGAGAGAAGGGGAAGAACAGGAGAACTAAGATAGGGGAAGAATAGAGGAGGGCTAGAAAAGAGGTGCCTTGATAGAGGGAGACAGTACAGGTTTAGAGAGGGGTCTGGCACAGGGGAAATGTTAGGGGATCCACAGGGATGATCCCAACTAAGAATCTAGGCAGTGGTGGAGAGTCTACCTTTGATGCCCTTCCTCTAAAATGAGATTGATGACTACCTTGTTTGCCATTCCTAGAGCCTTCATCCAGTACCTGAACGATGCGGAAACAGGCACCCACAGCTAAACCCTGAGCCATACTCCTGGAAGTAAGTTGCAGAGTGGGAAGTTGGATGAGCATAGGAGCCAAGAATGTACTGAAGAAACCCTAAGAAACAGTTGACCTGACCTAGTGAGAGCACAGAGACCCTAGTAGTAAAGCTGGGGAACCAGCATTGGACAGAACTAAGTCTTCTGAATATGGGTGCCAGTTAGGAGGCCAGGGCAGCCTATGGGACCTCTAACAGTGGAGCCAGTGTTTATCCCTAAAGCACAAATGGACTTTGGGAGCCCATTCCCTATGGAGGGATAACATTGCAGCCCAGATACAAGAAATAGGGCCTAGGTCCTCCCACAAATGATATGATGGGATTTTGATGGTCTCCTGTTGAGGGCCTCATATCCTTGGGGAGTAGGTGAGAGGTGGTTTGGGGGTCGGTGGGGAGCATGGGAGAATGGGAGGGCAAGGGAATGGGAGTATTGATATGTAAATAAGAGTGCTTCTAAAATTAAAAAAAAGAATGCTGGCTTTAGTTATTTGGTCACCAATAATACAAGTGGCAGTTCTAGAAGAACCAAGGAATGTGTTCTTCCCTAGTTCTTCTTCTGAAGCGACTGCAGTTTAATAATGAAAGTCATAATTTCTGCTTAGTGATAATGATTTTAGATTTCTAAAAGACTGTGAAATTCTTAATTGGAGAGTTTCTCAAGGTGTAGCAAGTGCAGACTGGTGTTCTCAAACCTAGTTCACTTCGTCCTGATCTTATAGACATGAGCCACAAAACTCTATTGTCTGGCTATTGGAAGCACTATTATTTGTTTTCTTGTGAGTGTGTCTTTTGTTTTGCTGGAGCAGAGCATCTAAATGAAGTTCTGGAGCATGCAAGAAAACACTATAACACGGATTTGCATCCCCAGGCTTATATTCCAGACTTCTTACTTAAAAAACTGTGACCTCATTTCTAAAAAAGTCATTTGCACTAATCATTACACCACTCTCTCTGAGCCTTGGGGTATATTGTCAAACAGTGAGCAGGAAGTATGCAAGAGCCATAAGACAAAGTGAAGGTCTGTGAAATTCCATTCCCTGGTAGTCATACAACTGCTGCAGACTTTAATTCACACCAGCACCACAGATGATCAGTCTGTTCAATAACGACTGAAGAGTTTGGGTACCACAGGACCCTCTTTTAGAATTGACTTTCAGTTTCTGATAGATTCTAGGATAGGGGGATTAATTGCATTTAATTGTGTGCCTACCACAGGCTCCAATGAGTAGCTCCAAACCCATAGTTACAGAGTTGGCCATGATCAAACTCAATAGATCATAAAAGAAAAACAATGACACCAAAATGAAAAGAATATTTTTAGAGAGAAGGCTGAATGGACAGGGTCATAGGAAGTTGGGGGAAGGTGGAGAGTAAGATCATCAGTGTGCATTGCAACCACGTGTAAAACATTCTAAGAAAATCTCATTTTTAAAAAGTAAATATTGTATTACCTGGAAAAATCCCTCAATAATGCAGAGACAATACCACATTTTTAAATTTTCTTAAGCAGAGTAAGAAATATGAATTATGGGGAAGAAAGAAACTGTGCAGTGGTATTCAGTGGTATTCAGGTACTCAACACTTTGTAATTCAGTTTAAAATGACAAGTAAATACAAACCACAATTTCTCAGTAGTCATTGTATTATGAATTCTGAAATAAATTAATGTTTTGGAAAGTCTATGTAGTTATAATATATACATATGCAAATGATATATATATATAGTTTAATGGCAAACGGAGACAATTAGATTAAAATCATAGATTGTTTTATTGCAGGTATAAAGAGATATATATTACTTGGTTTGAATTATTTATTACATTGTATTTACTTAGTCATTGTACACTTTTAATGTCTACTTCTTAGGTGCCTTCAGCTGCATCGAATTCTTCAGGGGACAAGCAGTCAGTCTTATGTTTTTTTCTTCTTCCTTTATTTTTTTTCCAGAGAAAACTGTTTGTAAATTATAGCGTTTTATCTTGGCAGGAGGTGGGTTAGAGAAATGGGATGAAGTCTTTCATTCCTTATATGAGGGAATGTTATATTAGCACCCCTGATATGCTTGATATAATTTATGCTTGATAGGAAGAAAACTTCATATGGAGTAATTTTTGTATCTATTCTCAATTTGAATTTTCAACTTTAGGTGCGTTTGATACCTAATGGTCTATTAAATGAGGAAAAATATTCATTATAAAGATTAATATTTTATCACATTGTTATTGAATGCTATTCATCTTAGTTATATATTAGTTGCATTTTTACATACATGCATTTAATTTCTTCTTACCTTTTGGTTAAGATCAAGTATAAATATGTCTATTTAGTATTAGAAATAGTTCTAATGTTCAGGATATGATGGTTACCATTTAATATGAATGTAATGGCTAAAAATGAATAAGAGAAACATCTTTTTGAGGCTACAGTTTTTGCAAGGACTTAAGCAAAATCTGTAGACATAATATTTACCCTCAATCAATCACCAGACAAATTAAGGTCAATTTATGAAATACACAATAGTA